ATATAAACGAGGGTCTAAACGGAACGGTTCAACAACAACAAACATGATCGCATAATAAAAACTATTATCAGTCAGAAAATTGATCGGAAATTTCTACCAAAGAGTGAACTGATCCAAAAACAAAAGTTTTCAATAAATATACAATTTTTATAAAAAAAATTGATCTGAAATTTTCTTTGAAGAAAAATATAAAATATCAAAAATATAAAATTTATTGGAAATTTTCAATAAACAGAAAATTGATCACGAATTTTCTATGAAAAGAAAATTTATCGAAAATTTGTCATAAACTGAAAATTCACGTAATTCTAAATGAAATGTTAAAAACAGAAAACTAATCAAGAATTTGAAAAAATAACTCCCCCCTCTACCCCTGTACAATCAAAATAAACACCAACCAGCCACATTCCTGTGTAAAAAATAATAAATATATAAAGTATCAACAACAACAAAAAAATATTTTTACATATTTACACCCAAACATATACCAACAAACAGATACGTTTAAATTTACAACAGAATAAAATAAAAAAATCTTAACAAAAAAAGTGAACAACATAATCTGTGTAAATCCGCTTTTTCACCTCAATTGCTTTGAAAATGCCATAATATCCTATTGGTAATATATTACATTATTGTTGTTGAATATGTATGCGAATCAATGTAAATGTGTATGAGAATGAAAATGTATCTGAGTATTGGTATTGTTTGATGTTTTTCGTGTATGAATATTTTATATATTCATGGCTTGAGGTTGGAAAATGATTTTTTTCTGTTGCTTCCTTTTTTTATCAAAGATTAAATATTAAAAATTTGATTAAAATAAGTAAATGATATGGGTTTGGTTTGTTGGAGTTTTGTTTTTTGTTGTATTTTTTTATAACAGTGTTTACTGGTTTTTTTGACAGGCCATGAAATGGGATAAAAATAGTAGTTTAAGTAATTTGATATTATTTGAAAGAGGCATGAGGTGGATTGATATTTCTTTTTTTTTTGCAATAGATATGAATATACTTATGCTTACTTTAGGAATTTAGAGTAAGGTCATTGTAGTGGACTAGATTTGAAGAAGAATTATATGTATATTAAGGAACTGTAAAATATTTAAGGTAAAATTAAATCTGGGGAAAAAATATTTGAAAATAAATTTGTGACTTACCTGTAGGAAATAAAAATAATCTGGAGACTTCCACAAACAACAAAATTGTTTGATCTCAAAGAGATATATGTATGAAAAATTAACAATATATGAATGTATGTGTAAAAATAGGTAGACCGCTTGCTACAGGTAGATAGATAGATAGATAGATAGATAGATAGATAGATAGATAGATAGATAGATAGATAGATAGATAGATAGATAGATAGATAGATAGACAGACAGACAGACAGACAGATAGATAGATAGATAGATAGATAGTAGATAGATAGATAGATAGATAGATAGATAGATAGATAGATAGATAGATAGATAGATAGATAGATAGATAGTAGATAGATAGATAGATAGATAGATAGATAGATAGATAGATAGATAGATAGATAGATAGATAGATAGATAGATAGATAGATAGATAGATAGATAGATAGATAGATAGATAGATAGATAGATAGATAGATAGATAGATAGAAGATAGATAGATAGATAGATAGATAGATAGATAGATAGATAGTAGATAGATAGATAGATAGATAGATAGATAGATAGATAGATAGATAGATAGATAGATAGATAGATAGATAGATAGATAGATAGATAGATAGATAGATAGATAGATAGATAGATAGATAGATAGATAGATAGATAGATAGATAGATAGATAGATAGATAGATAGAAGATAGATAGATAGATAGATAGATAGATAGATAGATAGATAGATAGATAGATAGAAGATAGATAGATAGATAGATAGAAGATATATAGATAGATAGATAGATAGATAGATAGATAGATAGATAGATAGATAGATAGATAGATAGATAGATAGATAGATAGATAGATAGATC